CCCATATGGTTAATCCGGCCTTGCTTGGGAGCGACTACGTATGCTGTGTTTTTGGGAAATTGTAGTCGGTGAGTTTACTATTTTATACTACTTCTGTGATATTACTACTACTTCTACTTCCTGTTATCTTCTTCATCATCGTCTTTTTCACCAGTAGAAACAGACGGTTGTTGATCACGTGACTCCTGTGATGTGAAAAAACTGTTTCCATTGCAGTTTTGCGAAAAACACCAATTTCGATACGGCTGAAAAACCACCTCATCCTAGAGCAAAAACATTTTGTAGAAAAACGTGTTTTTTCGAAATTTAAGTGTTTCCATTGAGCAAATTTATTTTCGTAAATCTAATTAGTACATTTTCACGGTGAATGGAAACACAGCTACTGCAAGGTATTCTGGAGCACCATCAGATGAGTCTGATGCTCACATGCAGCCTACGTTTTTTGGGTTTTGTCGGCTGCATGAGTAGGTGCCTACGAATCGGGACAGCAAAGCAGTGTCAGCTGCAACCCGTGAATTGAGACGGAGGAAGTGTTCAGGTCTGTTGTTTAAATGATAACAGTACTCACTTCTTTAAACTAGTTTATAATTTGTAGAGCGAGTGCATCACTTAAAAGTCAACATCAAGATAGGTATTTTTAACCCACACTGATATTTTCTGATATTTTAATCTTCTCACAACCCAAATACAGCAATTGTTAGCATATTTCAGCTATAATCATTTTAGCATAATTAATACGTATTTGTTTTTAAGGGAGTTCTGTTCCTCATTTGAAATGGTTGAATAATTTGTATAGAATATTTGTGATTTCTTTTTAAACTCATAAAGAAAAGGTTTCCATAATCATTTAATCATTTAATTTTTAAGTTTATTTTTAAATGTTTTATTTAGTTCTTATTTTACAAATTGAAGTTGTGTAAAAGTTTCTAACAAACAGCTTAAAAACAGACTCTAGTTTCTTCATTAGAACCAGATTTTGTTTGGTTTATTTTGAGGCTAATACTGTATAAAACCTGTTTTGCTACCTTTGTGTTTTTGATTTGTTAGTTACAGGGATAACATACTGTATTTGTGTGTCTTTTCACAGTATTTAAATGCTGTAGATCCAGTCTAAAATGGAGCCTAAAATTCATTGCAAAGCCGAATACTCTGAGTCATTGTAGTGATGTTCTGATTTATACTTTCACAGAATAAACTACTGATATTTCTTCATTTAAAAAAACATTTTTGACTTTCTCCAGATTTACAAACTTACAGCCTATGAAAAAGTCAAGAAGGCTTTAGTGTTTGTTGACATGACTGATTTCTTTAGACTTACAGTTTGTTAAATTCTTGCCAACACGTTCCTTTACCGACTCTGAGGACTGTTTAAGAAACGTTTTGAGTACATCATCTCAACAGGCTTTCTTCTTAAATAAAAGTTCAATAAGAAAAGGATTCACAAAGATAAAAAGTGAGACTCACATTTCCATGAAGGTCTGTGTTCAGCAACATGATGGCACATGTCAGAGTGTGGACACTGTCTGAGAGACAGAGACAAAGGTGAGACATGGACAGATGACAAACAGACAAATGAAGAAAGAGATGAGACAGAGCCAGGTACCTTCAGTGGACAGAGTCTGGGGATTACACTGTCTGTATCTCTGAGAGAAATGTGCAAGGACTCGTTCTCTTTCCTGAGTTTCTCCCATCAGAGCGAACTGCATCAGAAAGCTCCTGAACAAACAGCAACATGGAAAATGGGAGCAAATCATAAGACAAGACAAGATGACCTTTTAACAAACAGTGTCTCCTGTCACTGGAGGATATGAATACAGAATGTTTGAAGTTTTTGAGATGAATGTTTTTTGTTTTTTGACTATAAAACTTAAGATTTTTGGTTCAAGAAGGACAGATCCTTGTAAGCAGATTAATCTATTTTATCAAACATCAGGTGCAATAACTGCCAGGGAGTGGCCAATGGTGCCCTTGCTCACCACAAATTAATCTTCAGCCAACCCACCAGTAAGAATTTTTGAGGTAATTATATTTTTAAGTAATATAAAAACTAGAAGTTATAGTTTATTGAAATGATAAGGGTGGTCGGTTCACATTATAACCAGCTAGCCCTTGGATTACGATGTGGCAACTTATTCATAGAGACCTTTCTTCTGTCTACGTGAAGCTACACATCAGAATGGAAGTCAGAGCCTGTCTGGAGGAACTCACACAGACTGTGACCTGGTTTATTAGCTTCTACAAGGACAGATGTATACCAACACGCAACAGGGTGAGTAACAATCATGACAAGTTCTGGCTCACATTTTAACCCAGACGGTAGAAGAAGGAGGCACTTAATAAAGGAGTAAGGACAGTTACAGAGACTCAACAATAGTTTTAACAAAATTATGAGAAATGCTAAACAGCTCTAAGACAAACAGCTTGATGGATCTCTCACTCTGTACTTTTACATATACGAGGAATAGTAACGGTCTGAGAATGGAACCCTGTGGGACTCCGCATACCACTTTTATTGTACTGGATGTTACGCCTCCGATTTCTACATACTGCTGTCTGTTATCAAGGCAGTCGTTGAACCAGTTTACAGCTGGTTTCTGGAGCCCTAGGGCTTCCAATTTACATATGAGAATACTGTGATCCACTGTGTCAAAGGCCTTTTGTATGTCGAGAAGGACCATTCCTGTGAGGTTGCATTTATCTTGCTCTGACTTGATAAAATCAATAAGGTAAATTAAGAGGTATTTATCTCATGTAGTGTTTGCTTTCAACTGCAGTGGAGAAATCCTGAGTCCCCTCACTACAGCACACATCACACACATACTCCATACAGACAGTGTGGTGGTCAGAGCAGACATTTACAGTGGGGCAAAAAAGTATTTGGTCGGCCATTGATTGTGCAAGTTCTCCTACTTAGGTCTTCAAAGGTACACTTCAACTATGAGACAAAATGAGAAAAGAAAATCCAGGAAATCACACTGTAGGATATTTAAAGAATTTATTAGTAAATTATGGTGGAAAATAAGTATTTGGTCATTTACAAACTAGCAAGATTTCTGGCCCTCATAGACCCGTAACTTCTTCTTTAAGAAGCTCTTTTTTACTCCACCTGTTACTGTATTAATGGCATGTGATTGACCTCGTTATCTGTTTAAGACAACTGACCACAGCCTCAAACTCAGACTCCAAAATCAACCATTAACAAGAACAAAGAGACGTCAAAGGACACAAGGAAGAAAATTATTCATCTGTACCAGGCTGGGAAGACTGGATCTGCAATAAGCAGGCAGGTTGGTGTGAAGAAATCAACTGTGAGAGCTATCGTAAGAAAATGAAAGACGTACAAGACCACTGATAATCTGCCTCTATCTGAGGCCCCACGCAAGATCTAATCCCATGGGGTTAAAAAGATCATTAGAAGAGTGAGTGAAAATCCCAGTACTACATGGAGGAAAATCCCAGAACTACCTATCCCAGAACTACACAAAGGAAAATCCCAGAACTACACTGAGGAAAATCCCAGAACTACACGGAGGAAAATCCCAGAACTACACTGAGGAAAATCCCAGAACTACACAAAGGAAAATCCCAGAACTACACGGAGGAAAATCCCAGAACTACATGGAGGAAAATCCCGGAACTACTTGGAGGAAAATCCCAGAACTACATGGAGGAAAATCCCAGAACTACATGGAGGAAAATCCCAGAACTACATGGAGGAAAATCCCAGAACTACATGGAGGAAAATCCCAGAACTACAAGGAGGAAAATCCCAGAACTACATGGAGGAAAATCCCAGAACTACATGGAGGAAAAAAACAGTACTTCTGGAAGGAAAATCCCAGGAGTACTTGGAGGAAAATTGAGCGTACTGACTGCCTGACAAATTCGTTAATTTCTCACTATTTCAATCATGGTGTCAAGGATTGGGAGGAAGAGATAGTTTGCATTTTAGCTTTAAAACATCAAAAGAAAAAAAAGGAAAAGAACTACCTTACCCAGGTTCTGAGCTATTTTCCTCCCACAAATTTGTTGCTCGTTGAAAGTCTTTATATTCCTTCATTGACGCGTCATTAAGTTTAATAATCTCCTCCATGAGACGCTGTTATGGTAATATTTATTTAACAAAGACAGAAATACGTGGTCCAAGAATGAAGGTACTCCGTGAGATGATGGGCTGAGTTTTATTGCAACAAGATTTGACTCATTTCGTCCACAAATGACACTGATTCTCTACCAGCTTGGTGTCACACCAAGAACAGTACATGCCACTGTGCATAAAAACTCATCTTCAAATTTATTTTACATTTCAGAGCCTGAAGGATGTAAAAAAAAACATCTCCCAACCCACAGTGCCACTAGAAATAAGTTCTCCACCTCTCCCCGTCCTTCCCTGCTCTTCTGCACTGGCCGTGCTGTTATCTCCACCTCCTTCCCCTCAGCAACAGTCTGCATGCAGACCCCCTTCACCACGGCATGTGAGTAATACACATTTTTTGTGAAAAGTATGGAATTTTGAGGTTCATGATAGAGGTAAATGTCTGAAGGGGTTGACATGTATGTACTTGTCACATGACAAGACGTGATTGGTCCACCTGTTTGCTTATGAAAAGTTTTATTTGCTTTCTGTATGTGAAGAAACCAAAGACCAGTATTAAGAGAAGAGTGAGGAACCTCCACTATTTAAATATTAAGAGGAAACACTCAGCACATGCCTGAAACCAAGTTTTTTTTCCTCCGATGCGTGGCACAGAGTGACACACATCACAAAAAACAGGAGCTTTCACACAAATACAGCCTATTTATGAGCTGAAGTATGCTTCCTCTGCTGTGTAAAACTTTGATTTTTATGTCATTTATCCTGAACTGAAAAACAAACTCCCTCCTCACACATGCAGTAGGTTGCACAGTAAGTCATGTACTTTGTGTGAAGCGTGTAGCATCTTTCTGTGTGCACCTACGTTACACAGGACTATACCTGTTAAATGATCCGAACCACCTTAGCATCCTCTAATTCTTCAACCTGTTTAGCGGTTTAGCATTAGCATCCTCTAATTCTTCAACCTGTTTAGCAGTTTAGCATTAGCATCCTCTAATTCTTCAATTAGCGGTTTAGCATTAGCATCCTCTAATTCTTCAACCTAYTTAGCGGTTTAGCATTAGCATCCTCTAATTCTTCAATCTATTTAGCGGTTTAGCATTAGCATCCTCTAATTCTTCAACCTATTTAGTGGTTTAGCATTAGCATCCTCTAATTCTTCAACCTGTTTAGCGGTTTAGCATTAGCATCCTCTAATTCTTTAACCTGTTTAGCATTTTAGCATTAGCGGAACTGTATCTTGTTTAGCACATTAATGGTTAGTGAAGCTAATTTTCTGGTTAGCTGTGCCCAGAACTGTAATTCAAAGACTTCTTTGAAATAAAAGCTTATTAAAAATTGTCCAGGTGTGAACATAAATGCAGAGTAAATCCTTTCATAATGTTTTAGATAAAATATTTACTGTATGTTTCCACTTCAGCAGGTTTATGAGGATGAACCTGATGAAACGTGGATCAGCAGGAAGAGAATATTAATTCTGTGCAATGATAAGAGTTAAGAACTGACCTGAGTGCCTGGTCGATGGTCAGACCCGTGAAGTTAAAGTAACTGAGGTATTCCTGTGCCACCAGCTGGGTGAAGTTGTTACTGAGGAAACAAAACAACAAAATGTAACTTTAGCAGGATGTTCACAGGTTAATGCTAAAGTTTAAAATATGACATTACATTGTATTTCATTTACAGAAACAGAGGAAACAGTAAACTCTAATCTAAGTATTACATTTCTAAATCAATCTATATTTTAGCTCGACACCAAAATACCTCTTTAGTACTTGAAATTAGAATGTCTTATTATTATTTTAGCACTTTTATAATATTATTATTATTATTATTTTAGCACTTTTATAATGTTTTATTCAATTTAATTTGTTGGATTTGTTTTGTTTTAAACAGTTTTAGTGAAACGATTACTGTTTTCAGTTTTATTTACTGTGCAGAACTTTAACTTTAGGTTTGAAATCAACAAATAATGACATATTTTAGTGGAAACAACACTTAACAACACAAAACCTTAGTCCAATGTCAGAAACTGAGTTCTTGTCATTTATTAGTCAGTTGACTGTAGCCAATGAGGTATAATTTTACTAGAGGGGCTATCACGTGACTTTGGGTATGCTGAACGTGACTCCATCTTGACACAGTCATTCAACCATTGAACACAGACCCACAATGCTGTGTCACTGTGCAGCGTTGGCTTGCACCAATGGTAGTGGAAAATGCTCGGACCTCATAAGAAGTCTACGTTAATATGTTCAGAATCGAACAATGTTCAGAACTATGGACTTGCATTTATTTTACAAATGATTGTCAATCTTATTATTGAACACAATTTTGTTTTTTATTTTTAATTTTATTAATTTAGTTTATTGTGTATTTCTAAACGATGTTTTCAAAATGATACTTTAAGCCTTGGTTTTTGGATTGTATTTTGATAACGTAATTTTAGTAAACTTTCTTTTACTTGGTTTGACTATGTTGTTAATAAAAATAACATTTTTTTAGTTAAATAATATTGTAAAATAAACTTTTTCTTCCATCTGTGTGTGTATATGTGTTATAGAGTACATGTAAATCGAGGCTACTCTAAAAGAAAAACCTGTTAATCTGGTAATTGTTTACATCATTTGAACAGCCCCATCCCTTTAAGTAGACTGTTTCAAGATGGCGTCGCTCTCAGCATRTCTTGGCCCCAGCCTCTTGACGGGGGTAGCCTCTCTAGTGTATATATCTCATTGGCTGTAGCGGCCAAGTTAACGTGCAGTACCCTCAAAGACTAATCAGTCATAGATGTACGTCATCCATGGTTACTTTTTAAGAGTTCCATTAAAGTTTGTTCAGTAGTTCATGGGATATTTTGCTAACAGACTAACAAATGCAGGTGATAAAAAGCTTCTTTGTCTCAGTGGACAGAAAAAGACAAACACTGACTTCTTGCTGAGGTTTCGAGCAACATCAGACTTCTTGAATCCATCCAGGTTGTAGAGGCGTTTGGCGAGACGTTTGGCGGCCTGCAGGTCCGGCTTCAGGCCGTTGGTCAGAGCGTCATCACTGCCGCCAGGCGCCAAACGCTCAGCCACACCGGGCTGCAGGGACAGCAGCTCAGGAGGCTGGGTCGCTGGACGTTCCCTAAAACACACAACACAGCAACGGGATTCAGCAAGTTCACATCTTCATACAAACTAATGCCCCTTTTCCACTGGTGCCACTTAGTGTGGTGTCGGTACAGATCGGTACTGTTCCAAGCCATTTCCATTAGGCCAGTTAGAGAAGAGTTTTATCCCCAAACAACCAAAAAATGTGAAACCTGACTGCACTAATCTGAAAAATAAAACTGGAAAAAAGAAAAACTAAAACCACAGAAAAATAAAAGCTTCATTTAGTATAAAAAATAAACACTCTGCTCTTTATGTTTATGTGCAGGTTTTCCTCCAGCAGAACATGTCTCATCATGTGAGTCACACTCAGCAGCTTCCCTTCATCATCAGCATCCATTGTTGCCTGTTGCCATGGATACAGGACATCAGCAGCTAATGCAACACAACATTTAACAGGTCAACATGTGACAACTGTGGAAACACAAAGGTCAAATCAACCTTTTCAGTCTTTAAAACATCACTTGATTAAATGTACAAATCAGTTCAAACAAAAATCAATGTTTTCCTCTTAAAGTTCCTGCTGCTCACATTTTTTGTTTCATGAAGATGGTACAACCAAAACACAGTAAATAAATAAATAAATACATTTTTCTTAGGTAACAGATTGTTGATTAGTCATTTGTTTAAAAACCATTTTGAAATATTTCAGCCATTTTATCTGAGTCATTTCAGGCAGAAGAACAAACTTCAGTTCATAAATTACACAAAATAATTACATTTCTTTTTTTATTCAGAATTCAAAAACACAGCAGAACAAGTCTTAACTCACAACATAAAGAAAACACAGCTTACATGAACATAAACTGAGCAAAAGTACAGTTTGGTAAAATACAGAACAGGCTGAAAACTGAACAAAAATCACAGATTTTTAATTATTTGGTTAGTTTATTAAAGGGGCAATATGTAAAATCAACTTTTTTGAGTTTTATATCATGTTATAATGTTATACTCTCATAAAAACATGTCCAAAGCCTTGCTCTGACTC